GCCGGGGCTTCTGCCGCGCCGCCCCGGCCCGGGGTTATACAACCCTCGCCTCTCCCTCGGCCCTGGGCGCCGGGCAGGGCTTCGCTGCGAGGAGCTGCGGGGCGGCAGCAGGTCTGCAAGCGGCAGGGAGGAAGCACCCCGGCCCTGGCCCTGGCGAGTCCACCAAAGCAGCGCTGTCCAACACAAGCGCCACCATCAACAATAAAATCCTCTGCCACTTCTTCTGGCAGCCAGAAAGTAAGCACGACAAAGTAGATTTGCTAGGACAGCGATGCCACAGGACACGGGGCAAACACGGCTGCTGTTGGTGTCTGCAGTACAGGCCCCATCTGTAACAGGGCCATGCTGGACGCCCAGCGAGAAATGGGAATAATGACACCTTTCACAAGCAAGGCTTTGCATTGCTCTCTCAGGGCTCTGTGACAAATAAGGGCACGGGCTAGCCCCAAGAGCAGAGCTAGATGCACTCTGCTGAAACACAGTTTTACACAGTGACTGTCAGCCCAGCAATGACCTCAAGACCTTTATCAGAGGGGTCTAAACAGAGGAAGGGTGAAGAAGCGTAAAACCATAAACAGCAAGAGGCACCTTGCTGTTATGACCAGAGCTAAGAGCAGGCACTTGGGTAATGGTCCTCAAAAGACGAGTGATTAAGCAGTGTCCCCAAACACGAGGTCCGCTGAGACACACCAGCAGTTTCACGTGGAGAAACCACTTTGCCATGAGTTTTCCTAACAGACCTTAGAAAGGCACTGTACGTCCAGCTCGTTAGCCACGCCATGTAACCATCACTCAAGCACACACCTTTTGGACAGGCAGCTGTGCCCACGGCTTGCTGATGTAGCATTTAGAGCCAAATCATAACAAAAAATGTGACGGGCGTGGCATTACATGACCTAGAACACAAAGCCCTGAGGACGTCACTTATTCTGGCACACTAAAACCTGACCCGTGACATCTCAGAGAAAACAGTGGTTTTGCCATTTCAGGTACATCTGCAACAGCGGCTGCAGGCAGAAGGGACAGTTCCCCAGACAGGTATTGGCCAAGCTCTCCGGTTCATTTACTAAACAGGCATCTTCCCCTGTAAATAGGAGGCCATCAGACTTGTTGAATTAAACCTAGCACAAGTCATGCCATTGTTGCCGTCACCAACCCAGCATCACTTGGTCAAAGCGGGTGGGAACGTTGCTGCTGTTGGCACAAGCCCAAGGAACCACAGCCACGTGATGCAACTTGGAGGAACAACGCGCCAGTCGCAAAGCACCCACCCAGGCCGCGGTGCCTGTCAGTCACACGCTGTCTTTTAGTCGCACATCCAAGTTAGGCCTCCACATCCTTGTGAAGAAGGAGGTATTTTTATTCCCACTCTCCAAGCAATCCACTTAAGAGGGGGTTTTAATGATTTTGCTGATAGCACACAGGAAGCCTGCAGCTGAACACAGCTCAGCTTTCCACTCTGCAGCCCGGTGCTTCATACAGAAGATTATCCAACCCTTGAAAAACCTGATGCTCGCTCAATCTTTTCCCTAAGTAACAGAGACTTGTCACAGTAATATTAAAAAGCAACAGTCCTGGCAAACGCAGGAAGGACACCTGCCAAGAGGGCAGTTGCCCTCGTTTCGTTCACCAGTGAAATCCGCACAGAGAGAATTTTGTTTGTTAAAAAAACACCCTAAAAACAACAAGCCTGTGATATAAAGCAGCTTAAGTTTTAATAAAAATCTGTCTATCCAAAGTAAATTAAAGAAAAATCCAGGGGTCAAACCAAAATAAATACAGCTCTGTGGCGTTACAGTTGTATTAGGAAAGCTGGCCTCTCTGTGACTCTGACAGCTAAACATTTGCTCTTCAGAGATGGAGCTTCAATGATCTCACACAGGTTAGGAACCGATGATCTTCTGTTAAACCTGATAGATCAACTGAAATAATCTTTAAACCTGATATCTTTTTACTTTTACCCAGATAAATGACCCATTTCTCTATGCTGTTAGCTTCTGCATCAAACCGGCACTTTCCTCAACCATCCATCTCCACAGCACCCTTTCCAGCCTTTCCTCCACCTATCAGTTTTCCTTCATTCAAGCAGTATCCCCTTTTTTGGATCAACTGCACGCTACAGTTCACCTGTAGTACTGGATTTTATAGAAGTTGTGGGAAAACCCATCATCTCAAAGTCAATTTTAAATGCTCCAAAATAATAAAAGTGAAACAAGGTTATTATAGGAAGCACAACCTAAGCACATACACTTTATTTATACGGCATCAACATAAGTAATTTAAAACACATGTGCAGTACAGATTCTCACACTTTAACAAGATTCAGAGCACATGTGAAGACACAAATAGGTTTACTTGAAAGCTGCTGCATCCAGCAAGAGCAGTACTTGATCTAAAAGCAACGTATTTATTTGAACACAGCTACTGGTCTGATCTCTACGTATGCATATTCTGAAGGATGCATATCTGCCCTTCCTCAAGGGTGTGTCTACAGCCATCCGATAGCCTGCCTACTTACATCCATCGGTAGCTTCTTTTTCACTTGCTTTTTTTTTTACTCTGCATGTAACAATGGTTGGATCCGACCTTAGCACAAGTGTGCTTCAGCAGTGGCAAACTGCTGCTAGCACATCCCTTACCCACCAGCCAGGCTTGAAAGGTCACAGAGTTGTGTATTGAAATAATCACTAAAACGTTAACAGAAATACTTGTGAATGGACCTACCAACAGCTTTATGACTTTTATCAGTCCTACAGACACATCAGCAAAACAGTAACATCACCAGTGGCACAGAGTAAGGGCACAAAACAGTACACTGGGAACAGCGGAGCCCCGTTTCCCACCACTTACACATGACTGTATGTGCTTATAGTACACTGACGGAAAGTCTTCTACGCTGATCCCAGCCACCAAGCCAAGGAATGGTATTTATAAATTTTATGAATAATGCTCTATATTTATAATGATGTTATAAGCAGCAGTTAAACAATTACATATTTATTTGCCCCTTTTAGGGTTTCATAAAAATGAAGCATAAAGCAGCCACCACAGGGAAGTATACTAGTACCCAGAGGTTTGGCAAAGAAAGCAAGTCATATCAACCCAGACAAGTAAACAATGTCAGGGGAAAAAAAATAATCATAACCATTATTCTGATTAAGGTACAATTCAGCATTTATATGTATAGAAATGAGGCCTTGTAACATCAGATTGTAAAGTTCTGTTCTAAATTAAACTGAAGTTTATTGTGTGTCCCTGCCTGGCATACAACATTTCAATTTTGCTAGCTAATTAGCCCCTTTGTTTAACTTTAGTGTGCCCTGCTACCACCTTTTCCTTTCTAGTTACCTCACGGTGCATCCCCAGGTCTCTAGAACGACTTAAAATCAGCAATGAAAACATTTTATCCTTTAGCTTGCCTCTATGCAGTATTTATACTGAGATTACATTTGCTCTCCATTTTGTCATCCTCACATAGCAGCAGAGATGGCATGAGCAGCTCTGCTCCGTATAGACAGTAAGGCATGGATTTTGGACAGAAGACAGACTGGAGTCAAAGTTGTCTCAGTCTCTACAAAAGTAGTTTGGAGGTGGTCATAGCGAAGGGGGAAATAAAAGATTTCAAGGCTATACTTTCAGCTCCACTCTTGAGATAATAGCAGGAGGAATTGGTCTTCCTGACCACACAGAGTGTTGTGATACAAGCCTTGTCAACGGTGGCCACACACATTGCAGAAAGTTTGCGCATAAAAGATTGAGCTTAAAAGCAGCACATTTGTAAGTGACAAGGTGCCTATATTTGCTGCTTTATTGAAAGGTCTGGTAACAAGTCAGTGCCTATCCTGCAACCACCACCGTTGGCTTCGTCAATACTGTGGAGGGTTTTTTCTGCAATAGGCAGAGAGAAAAAGTGGTACATGATATTCTCACCTGTACATGATATTCTCACCTAATCCATAACATGAGAAACAAGCAATCAATTGCAGCAAGAACAGCAAAATAGCTCAAAATATCAGTAAAGCTTCACCAGCAACTCCAAAGCGTTTATATTACAGCATTTTGGAAAGGATGCAAAAGATGAGAAGAACCAAGGGTTCATCAAGTATCACTTTCCTTAAAAAAAGAAAAAGGAAAAAAAATGAAAAAGGAAAGTGAATGCTGCTGTATGTACCGAACAGAGAAATCGTGATCTCAAAGGTACTGTATGCCTGGCATATGTGTAGGCACAGCTATTGTTCTGAAATCCCCCGAAATGTCAAGTTAAGCCAGGTTCATCAAGAAGTGTGTATGGATGAGAGCTCAAGAACGTGAATGCGTTGAAGGAAGCAGCAATAGCAGCAGCTCAGCAGGCGATACTCAACTCTACCAGCATTGAACAAGTACCCGAGAACCATTAAGAAAGGATGGGATGCTGATGCTCAGACTCTACATGGAAAAGTGATGTGAAATAGGGGGCAGAGTTGATTTCTATCACCTGCGTTTCAATCAGTCATCCTGAGTCAGCCCACCTCAAGTGACAGAAGCCCTCTGCAAAACACACACCAGCAGGACACTTGTTTCCTGAGCAGCTGTTCCAGGTGAGTTTGTGGCAAGTAGACTCTGAGTCGAGGAATTGCCGTGGAGTTGGAGAAAAATATCAGATTCAGACCTTAGTTTGTAGTATCCCTGAAAAC